AGAAATAATTTTTAAAAATTCAAAAATATTTGTTTGACATTTATTTTTGTCAAATTAGTTTATATTTTATCAAGTTGACGACTTTATTCTTGAAATTGAGCAATAGTATATTCAATTGTCCTTATTTAAAATAAGATTTAAAATTCAAGATCAAATGTGTCACAATTAAAAAATTAAAGACTGAAGTGATACAAAATTTGAAACTATAAGGATCGTTATTATAATTCTTCATTTAATACATTTGTAATACACAAATCGTAGTTGTTTTTTAAGTGGAATGTTCATTATGATGATAAGTAGTCGATTAGGAGAACTGCTATGTCACTACAGGGTATACTCTTCCTCATGTTTCATTATTCATATTTTATGTCCTGGGGCATAGATATTCTAGATACCCCATTATGAATATGAATCGCCAAAGTCTTCCTACTTCTCCATTGTTCCAATCAGATCCGAAAGAGAAATCAATCAAAAGTCAGTGGAAAAGTCAAGGCTGATGATGTTGAGAAGACAGCTTTTCGAACTCGGTACGGTCATTACGAATTTTTGGTTATGCCCTTTGGAGTTACTAATGCCCCAGCAGCCTTTATGGATTTGATGAACCGCGTCTTTAAGTCCTATTTGGATGAATTTGTGGTGGTCTTTATTGACGATATCCTCATTTATTCAAAGAATGCGGAAGCTCATGAGACCCATCTTCGCTTAATTCTTCAAACCCTCCGGGAAAAGAAATTGTATGCAAAGCTAAAGAAATGTGAATTCTGGCTACTCGAGGTGGCGTTTCTGGGGCATATTATCACAAAGGAAGGAGTTTCTGTTGATCCACACAAAATTGAGGCGATTGTGAAATGGTCGACTCCTACCAATGTGACCGAAGTACGTAGTTTTATGGGGTTAGCTGGCTATTACAGGAGATTTGTTCAAGATTTTTCCAAAATTGCGGTGCCACTCACATAATTGACTCGAAAGGGAGTTGCATTTGAATGGTCAAAAGAGCGGGAGTCTGCTTTCCAGGAATTGAAGATGAAGCTAACCACAGCTCCAGTTCTGGCTTTACCGTCTGACACCGAAGGGTTTGTAATTTACAGTGATGCGTCCCATAAAGGATTAGAGTGTGTGCTTATGCAAGGTGGAAGGGTTATTGCCTATGCTTCACGACAGCTTAAACCCCATGAAAAGAATTATCCCACGCATGATCTTGAGCTCGCGGCGGTAGTTTTTGCTTTAAAGATATGGCGGCACTATTTGTATGGTACTACCTGTGAAGTTTACACCGACCACAAAAGTCTTAAGTACCTTTTTACCCAGAAGGAATTGAACATGCGGCAGCGTCAGTGGTTAGAGTTAATTAAAGACTACGATTTACAGATCCATTATCATCCTGGTAAGGCCAACACGGTTGTAGATGCTCTTAGTCGGAAAAATATGGGAGATTTGGCCAACCTGTTTACGGAGCAAAGGGAATTGGTAAATGAATTGGATAAAATGAGTGTGGAATTTAAGATACATGGACAGGAGACAGTCCTAGCAACAGTAATCGCTCAACCGACTTTACTTGAAGAGATTAAGTTACATCAAATGGAGGATGACATTCTAAAGAAAGTATATGAAGAGTTAGAGACAAAACCAAAATCGGGATTCAGTTTGGTGGATTCGGTACTCAAATTTCAAAATCGAATGTGTCCCTAACGTGTTGGAACTTAAACGGAAATTGATGGAAGAAGCACACGCCTCAAGATTTTCCATGCATCCGGGAAGTACTAAAATGTACCGGGATTTGAAACAAAATTTTTGGTAGCCAAGCATGAAAAAGGAAATTGCAGAATTCGTCTCTAAGTGTTTGCAATGTCAGCAAGTGAAAGCGGAGCATCAAAGACCAGCAGGATTATTACAATCCCTTGCAATCCCGGAATGGAAGTGGGAACATCTAACCATGGATTTTGTTGTGGGGTTACCACGGACACCTCGGGGTATGAATTCTATATGGGTCATTGTCAACTGATTGACTAAGTCCGCCCACTTTCTACCAGTGAAGACTCAATACAATGCAGATAAGCTGGCGGTCATTTATGTGAATGAAATTGTAAGACTGCATGGTGTACCGGTCTCGATTATATCGGATAGGGATCCGAAGTTTGTTTCTAGATTCTGGCAAAGTTTACAAGAAGCCATGGGTACAGAATTAAAGTTCAGCACAGCTTTCCATCCTCAAACTGACGGTCAATCTGAGAGAACAATACAAACTCTGGAAGATATGCTCCGGATGTGTGTGCTAGAGTTTCAAGAAAGTTGGGAAACCCATTTACCGCTGGTAGAGTTCACATACAACAATAGTTACCACTCAAGTATTGCAATGGCACCCTATGAAGCTTTGTATGGAAGACCATGTCGTTCTACCGTATGTTGGGCTGAAGTTGGAGACAAATCCTTGCTAGGGCCTGAAATTGTTCAGTTGACAACTGAAAAAGTCAAAGTTATTCGGGAAAGATTAAAAATGGCTCAAAGAAGACAAAAAAGTTATGCGGATAACCGACGGAGAGATTTGGAATTTGAAGTGGACAGTCACGTCTTTATAAAAGTTACTCCGATGAAAGGCCATCCAAGATTCGGGAAAAGGGGTAAGTTAACGCCCCGCTACGTTAGTCCCTTTCAAATTTTGGAAAGGGTGGGTCTGGTAGCTTACCGGGTTGCCCTTCCGCCACATATGAGTCAAGTACATAATGTGTTTCATGTCTCTATGCTTCGAGGGTATCTTGTGGATCCGTCTCATGTTATTCGATTATCACCAAATTGAACTAGATGATAAGTTAACTTATGAGGAAAAACCAATCTGCATTTTGGATCGGCAAGTGAAACAATTACGAAACCGAGAAATTCCAATGGTAAAAGTGGAATGGCAAGAACATTACGGAACCGACGCAACTTGGGAAAGAGAGGAGGAAATGCAACATCAGTATCCGCATTTGTTTCTACCTAAGTAAAACAAGTTTGAGGGACCAAACTTATTTAAGGGGGGAGAGTGTATAACCCAAAAACCTCGTACATGTTCTTTGTTATATTTTCGGATCCTATTTTGTGATTTTGGATGCTTACTGTGAAATTCTATGAGAAATTAGGGGAAAGAAAGTGAACTCCATGTTTAAAGCATATGTTTAAGGATGTCTATCTGTTCAACAAGAAAAGTATCTGTTACATTAGAAGGTTTGAATCAGAAATTGGAGGCCTTAAGGGCTTAATTATCTGAAAATGATTTCATATATGTGATCAGCATAATTTTTATGTAATATTAGGCATTTTTGTGAAATTTCAATTTGGAATGCTTAAACGATTGAATTTCGTCCTTATTCACCTATATTTATATATGTATGCCTCCTCCTTAGACAATTGTTTTAGCCCTAGTGATTATCTCAAATATTGTTGGAAAGAAGAAACTAGAGAGGAAGGGGAAATTCTCAAGAAGAGAAGATTAGAATCTTGTGAGGGATTGTAAAATTCAAGATTCAAGGTATGTATGTTACTGGATTCCCTCTCTTGTTGAGTTCTCTCCCAAATTATCTCTTTTTGAATGATTGAGTAAATTAGAGTGTGTAGAGATGAAAGTAAATTCCTCAATTGATTGATGTTTAATTGAGTTGCTTATGTATGTTTGTGGAGAAACTAGTTTTATGTCTTATTTACTCATGAAAGTCATGAAGAGTATAGATATATATATATATATATATAGTTATGATGTTGTATGATTTTGGATGCAAAAAGGAAATTGGATTGTGGGTGAGAATTTAAGAACTCTTATGGACTTGTGTATGTTGAACTAAAGTATATTAGTTTGATGTATGTAATTGTCATTGTATTTATATGAATTTGGGTCATGTTTTAGCAATTAGGAAAGTTATTTTGAGCCTTGTTAATGTTTTCCAAAAGGTGGGATTTTGCAAGAATTTTCGGACAATTTTGGGCAGAATCACCGCATGTGCGGGGGTCATGGCCGCACGTGCGGAAGTCATGGCCGCACGTGCGGGAAATGGTGAAAAACAAGGGCTTGGCCACTGTCAAAAAGGCACGTGCGGGACATTTTGCCGCATGTGCGGGAGAGCTTGCCGCACGTGCGGGGCTTACAGCCGCACGTGCGACCTATGTTGAAAAACGTGGATCGCTCCGTTTTGCATGTAGAACCCCCTAATGTTGTCGGAATATGTATTTGATGCCTTTTAATATGTATAAATTCCTTCGAAGTAAAACGAAACAGAAAGTAATCTGATATGAAAAGGAAACTAAATCGTAAAGGTTGAATGTGTGCAGCGCACACTCCGGGAGGAACAAGCACATCATCACAACACTGTGAGTAGTAGTATCATTATCCATTTTACATATGGCTAATGATTTTCATTAGCATTTCATTTACGCAACTATGTTAATGTTTCAAGTATGTATGTTAATGTTCAAGTATGTTCCAAGTATGTAAAGAAAGAAATGGGAAAGATAAAATACCTTCCTTCTATAAGACTCAGGGCCTACGGCCGTTCAATATAAGTTGTTATGATATGAAACAAAGTACTACATGGAACTAAGTGCCACGACGTGAGCCACCTCTAGAATCCGTGTGAGACACCTCTTGAGTTCGTATAAGTATATTCAAGGGCTTAGTGCCAAATTATCCAAGGGCGTAATGCCACTTTGTTTAAGGGCCTTGTGCCACCATGTTTAAGGGCCTTGTGCCACCATGTTCAAGGGCATCATGCCACCATGTTCAAGGGCATTATGCCACCATGTTCAAGGGCTTCAAGCCATTATGATTTAAGATGTGATATGTCAAGCTGTTATGTTCAAGATTGGGCCTAAGGCCGTTATAGGATGAACACAAAATCAAGCTAACTATGTGACCTCTGCATCTCCCTATGTATTGATATATGTCATGTTTCAAGTTGAGCATTGTTTCATTTATGTATCACTATTCACTGAGCCCGGCTCACTCTCTGTTATGTCTGTTTCTGTAGGCAACCAACCAGGTGGTCAACCCTAACCCATGACGCCCGGTTTCTTTTGTCAACCTTCGTGTATCCAAGCACTTACGAGGCCACTTATTTTGTGAAGTTTATTAGCATAATTGGCTTACTTCTTGGCTATCCTTCCAAGGTTGAATGTATATAACTTCAACAGTTTTTTTTTGTTACATGCCCTATTATAGGGCTGGGTCTGTATATGTGTTTGTGTATAAGTACTGCTAAGGAATATTTTTGGACTTTATCGGTCTATTATGGTGCATGTGATGTATGAGATCCTGGCAAATTAGAAATAGCTCAATGGAGTTTGTTTAGCTTATTATTCTTTTAATATTTTACGCTTCCGATAGGGCCCCATATGCTATATATACCAGGTTATATGTCTGTTTCTAAATGGGTCATGCCCGAATTTTTAGGGGCAAGTTTGGGGTGTGACATACCATGCATGCTTTGTATACTTGTCTTGTAATCCCATGATTTGCCTTAACATTCACCATGTTGTAACATGTCTTTTTAGCATGATTTTGGCTCAACTTCATGAAGCTTCTAGCTTTGTTTTAACATGCTAAAGCCCTGATTTTGTTTGTTTTGGTCGTCCATGACTTGCTTTGTATAGCCACCGTGTAATCTAGCTTGTAGGCTTTGAGTTTTGAATCCTTTGACATGCTCTATTTCGACCATTTCAGTGGTTTGGCACCACTTGTTATGCTATTTTAGTCCATATAGTATGCTCATATGCTTGCACTTGTAACTTCTTTAATGCTTTAAAGAGTCGGTACGTTATGCTTCATGAATGTGTCATCATGTATGCCACTATGCTTAGGTATTTGGGATGCCATCTAAATGGGTTTTTGGGCTCATTTTGACATGCAATAACTCTATTTTTGGTTGCTTAAGTCATGCCATATTTGGCTTTGGTAGGTGTAGTGTAACACCTCTTTTGTGGCCTTTGTTTGCTTCATGCTTTTGGTCCTTCGTTCAAGCATGTTTTGGCTTCATTCCTTGCATGTTTTAGGACCATCTTGACATGATTTAGGATTGTTTTGGGTTATGTTTGCCATATGCTCCTTGTTTTGTGTAGCTTTGGTTCAAATCCCTTGACTAGTCTTAGGCTTTAATAGAAGAAGCTAACTTACTTGGTCTACTATCTTCAGCTCCATCTCTGTCAATTGACAGGGCTGATCATCTTATCTGGGCTTCAGCATCTACTAGTAGGTGATAGGCCAATTAGCATGCATGTTTGCATATGCTCTTGTCCCTCATTTCTTAGCATCTCGGCCACTGATTTGGACCTATTTGAGGGCTATCCATCTTGGTTTAAGTCCATCCCCGCATGTTGTTGCATGCCTGCCTTGCATATTGTCGCATGCTCGTTGCATCTTTGATAAATTGCATGTTATAACATGTTAGTTTAATTGTGCCTTGCTGCGTACTTAGTCCATGACATGTTGTCGCATGTTCAGGTGGTATTGCATTTGGCATGTTTTTGTTAAGTAGCTTTGCATGTTTGCATATCTTGTCCCTTTACATGTTGTCACATGTTTAACTTGCATGCTTGAATGTCCATGTTGCATTTTGCATGCTTGTCTAAGTTGCATTGCATTTGGCATGCTTGTCACCACTAGCCTTGTATGGCATTGTCATTAACATGCTTATGTTGCATTAGGTTCGCATCATGCTTGATTTGCTCGTATGCTTGCTTGCATGTTTAGGTTGCATAGCATTGTATGTGCATCCTTTGCCTCTTGATCAACAATAATAGAGGTTGAGGGCCCTTGTAGGTTTTTGTGCATTTCATTTGATATTAATTACACACTTGGCCTCTTTGGGCCATCATGCATTGAAATGCGTGATTGATGGCCCGAGAGGCGAAGGCCATACTCCTTTGAGCTTTAAACATGATAAGGAGGGTGGTTGTGCAAACATTTCCTTGAAAATGCATTGCCATGCTCTGTCTGTCCTCTGTTGCAACAAAAACAGGATTTTGCAGGAATAACTGGTTGGTCGGCCATCTTCAGTGCTGGCCAGCTATACATCATTGGCCGAGAGCCTCATACATGGTCGATGACCAGTTCCCATTGGCCGATGGCCTTGCCTCTTGGTCGATGACCTCCCATAGTGCTCGGGGAGTGGTTCCGAAGCATCCTTGAGACTTGTGCAGTTTTCAGAGGTGCAGAGCAGTGCAAACAGAGGCAACATATGACATGGCGATGGATTTCTGAGCGGAGCCGAGTAATCATGCATTTGTCCCTCTTCCCGAGACTGCTTTACTGCTTTAGTAGCTTAATTAGTTTGTTAAATTAGTAAAGTGTTGTGTAATAATTAGTTAGTTAGTTAATTAGTTAATTTGTATTATTCTTTTGGTCTCTCCCTCGAGAGAGCCATTTGTTGTAATAAGCGTGCGTGTGTGTGATGCATGTCTTCCAATCTCCATTTCTTTCTCTCTTTTATTTAAACCGCTTATGATGGTTAGTTCTAGGGCATGTTTCAATTAGCATACCTCATGCTATGCATATTTGCATCCATTCATCATTATTGCATGCACCGGGCTCGGCGCATCATACTAACTGCATTGTATCTCAATTCCAAGTTGAATACGTGTATCAAATTGTCGCATCTCATATGCCATTCTTAGGATAGCTGAGCCTATCTTAATTTCATTTTGCATGTTTTGCGTTAGCCATTGTTGACATGAACTAGGATCATGCATGATTACTAGCTAGTTTCTTGTTTTGGCTCGGAGTACATTGTGAGTGTTTATGCCTTAGCATCTTGCATGTATGTGAGTGTTAACATGACAGCATGCTTGCCATGAGGCTAATTGCTTATATGATATAACTGCCTGAATGCCTGTGGGTGAAGGTTGGATTGCTTGAATTGGAATGATTCATTGAAATCCGTGTTTTAGCCTACTTGCGAGTAGCAAACTCTGAACCATTTCCAAACAAACGGATATGCGATGCTTTGTTCCAAATTAAGCGATCTAGTCTATACTTGTGTGTTGTGCGCATCACATAGTAATTCTTGCTAATTAACTGGAATAAGAACGCATGTGTTTTCAAGAACAAGATATCATGTTTAGTACAGGCCGATCTTCGGATCGGGCGAGTGGGGGTGCTCATAGATGACCTTCCCCAATCGTACCCAAGTTCCCGAGTCGAGGTAACTTTGGTGATGATGGACATGTGGCCTTAGGCACGAGTCAGGGTTTCCTAAATTCCCCCAAAATAAAATATTTAGGTGGCGACTCTGTATCTGGCAAAGCAGTCCATGTTTGGCATTTCTTTCTTAAAAATCAGTTTTTCAAAACGATTTGCCAGATTTGAACTCTTTGGTGATTTATCGGTCTCGCATTGCACTTTGCGGGATTAGATTCAGAACCGTGACATATTGAGTCTGAACTGTGGAAAAGCATAGGCCCTCGAGGGCGCGTCCACACACACACACAGAACAGTTACCACCAAACCTCACCCCCGCTCACCACCCAACCATCGCTGGCCACCATTGCTCACCACTGTCGCATGCCACCGCCGCTGCAGCAGGTTTTTTTCTCTCTCTCTCTGTCGATCCTGGTCTCTCTCCGTCGATCTCTGTCTCTTCTCTGTCGATCTCCGTCGATCTTGGTCTCTCTCTGTCGATCTCCGTCGATCTCGGTCTCTCTCTCTCTCTGCCGATCTCTCTGTCGATCCCTATCTATCTCGGTCTCTCTGTCTCTGTCGATCTCGGTCTCTCTCTCTCTCCCTCTCTCTCCCTTCCTCTATATTAAAAATAGGTTCTCTTTTACATTGAGATACTTGGTTGGATTTGGACTTGGACTGGTTAATCCAAGCCTGTCTTACTGCCATTACAAACCCCTAAAATCTTATAGCAATTTATCACTAACATTTCGCCAATCCAAATGCAAAATTCCTGGAAGATCTTTCTGGTGCAGTTATAGGGTTAAATTAACCATGGAGACCTTTTAAAAAGAAAAGAAAAGTTTGTTCCCAGCGCTCAAGGCTCCCACTTATTGTAGGTTTTGGGAGAGGTAGCAGGCAGACAACCTTCCCCCCCCACCTTTTATGATGTATAATTTACTCTCTTAATTATAATAATCCCAAAAATTATCATCTCATCTCAGTTCATGACATGCTTAATTCAGTTAGTTTCTATTTTGAACGCAATGTGCAGGCACGAGTCAAAGTTTATCCAAATAATTGTTCAGGAGATTGTGAGTAAATTGGATTTCACGGTCTTAAGTGTTACCCCCTATCAAACTAGAATATATTCTCATGTAAAAGACATTAATCTGTGGTTCCAAGGTGGGTTGAACAATGTCAGCGTAATGGTGATCTGTGGGATGCATGGAATAGGGAAGACAACCATTGCAAAAATTGTTTATAACCAAAACTTCGACAAATTTAAAGGTAGCAGTTTTCTTGCAAATATTAGAGAAACTGCAAAACAACCTAATGGTTTGGTTTGTTTGCAGAGACAGCTTGTTTCAGATATTCTAAAGTGGAATAAGGAAAGAATATACTGTGTTGCTGAGGGAATCAATAAGATTAAAGATGCTATGTGCTGTAAAAGAGTTCTAGTTGTTCTTGATGATGTTGATGATTTGGACCAAGTAAAAGCATTATTGGGGATGCGAGATTGGCTTCATGCAGGAAGTAAGATTATGATAACTACTAGACATGTGCAATTGCTAAAGACTGATGAAGTGTACAAGTCGTATGTGGTTAAGGAATTGAATGATGATGAAGCACTCTGTCTCTTCAGCCGGCATGCCTTTGGACAAGACAAACCTATTGAAGCTTACATGGAGCACTCAAAAAGGGTAATACACCACTGTGGTGGCCTTCCGCTAGCTCTGGAAGTCTTGGGCTCTTCTCTGTGTGGTGAAACTATTGATGTGGAGAGAAAGTGCATTAGCAAAATTAAGAACACATTTTCCGTGAAAATTCATAATGTGCTTAAAATAAGTTATGATTCTTTAGATGATCATGAGAAAAATTTATTCCTTGATATTGCTTGTTTCTTTGTTGGAAAGGACAAAGATTACACGGTTAAAATACTAGAGGAATGTGATTTCTCCATAACAATTGGTATTCAAAATCTCACTCATAGAGGTCTCATAGAAGTTAATAAAGATAGCAACAAGTTGATAATGCACTAAGTGCTTAGAGGCATGGGTAGGGAAATTGTTTCGCCGAGAATCACAAAAGGAACCTGGAAAGCACAGCAGAGTGTGGTGTCATAAGGATGCCTTCAATGTGTTGAGGGATAAAACTGTAAGAATTATGCTTCTCTCTCTCTCTCTCTTCATTGTAGTAACTATTTTTCCAACTTTTCTTTATCAGGGAACAACAACAATTGAAGGCCTTAGCCTCAACTTAGAAGATATGCCAGCTAAGAGTGCAAGCGGTGCACAATCCCAAAATGAAGATTTTGTTGCAGAACATACAATGTTTAACGAAGGCAATTCATTGAAGCGACGTCTCCGAGGCTTATTCTCTTTTCTCCGTGTTATTCCTGCCTTCACAGAATCATTTTCAGATGAAGATGAAGATGATTTGAAAACTGATGCATGTTCACAGATGCACACTTCAAGACTACTTCAGCTTAATAATGTAAGACTCAGTGGCGGATATCAAAAATTTCCTAAGAAGTTAATATGGTTATGTTAGCATGGATTCCCTTTAAAATCTATACCAAATGATTTTACTTTGGATAGCCTGTTTGCCCTTGAAATGCAAAATAGTAGCTTGGAACAACTCTGGAAGAGAACCAAGGTATTATTCAATTTTTTTTAATCCTGTTTTCTGTTGATTTTATTATTATTTTTTTAATTTTTTTTTGGGATCCATATGAATTCTTGTAGTGACTGATTTCTTACTTTTTTCTGACAATTGCTCAGATCATTGAAAATCCTTGATCTCAGTTATTCCTATGGCCTTACCAATTCCCCTGGCTTCTCACAGCTCCCTAATCTTGAGAGACTGATTCTTAAATATTGCATAAATTTGGTTGGGATTCACGAATCAATTGGGGAATTAGGGACCCTTGTTTTGTTGAATCTTGAAGGATGTAAAAATCTAAGGAAGCTTCCAAAGAAAGTTTTTTTGGTCAAATCCCTTGAACTCATTCTTAGTGGATGCTCAATGCTGGATGGGCTGCCCCCTGACCTGTGCAAGATGGAATCGTTCAAAGTGCTTCATGCAGATGGAACAAATTGATTACTCACTTGATCATTGGATGGTTTAAACTGCGGTATGAACTTTATTGGCCTTCTTCATGATACTGGTTAGGAAGCATGCATCATGTGAACTGCAAATAATGTTGTCATGCTATCTTGGGGGGCTCTTGGTATTCTATCCTTGTTGCAAGATTTGAATCTAAAGGGTTGAGTTGGAATCCATGCCTAACATGGTCTATATATGGAAGTGAAACATTATTGCAGCCAAGTGGTTGAGCTATTTTTCAACTTAATTGCAGACATGCACTGAAATTATCAAAAATTCACTTTGGCTAAGTTGGAATCCACGGCAATGATTGCATCGGAACTGTTCAGTGAAGTAACATGTACAAAAAGAAAGCTCCAGTAAGTGCTCTCTCTCTCTCTCTCATTATGTTGACTGTGTTCAGTTAGTAGTTAAAGTTGTCAATTCCATTGCAGAGGAACTGTATCAATGTGATATTTAAGCATATTTCTTCCCAATGTGAGATTCCTAGCTGGTTAGCAAGAAGAGTAGGGAATCCTCAATGTCTTTTACTGTTCCTTCACTGCTAATCTGAATGTATGTGTTTTCTATGTGCAGGTCATGTGAACTGAAGATGTCAACATCTGGCCTTTTGAAGTGTATTGAGTGGTGCCGATGTAGTTGGGAAGAGCAAAGGACTGCAGTGGATGTATATGCTAGCATTCATAGGAAAGATTTTGAATCAGTTAATGGAAGATGATGATGAAGTGGATGTCTCAGTGGATACAGAAGAAGCTTTTTGGGTAAAGGAACTTGGAATTCGTGTTCTTATGTAAGCCTAAAAAGCAATAGCAGCCAACACCACATCAATGATCCTTGTCACTAGAATGTCATTGATTTTATCAGCATATCAGATAAGGACAGGGGACTACTTCATATGCAATCACAATTGATTTCATAGGGTTAGACTCTATTTCAGGATTTTAAGTGTAATGAAAAGTTTAGTTAGTTGTCTTTCTTCAAAATGTATGCCAGGCTTTTACACTTGCTGCAGAACTATGGGTGTAATGGAAGTGTCAAACATTAGCATGAGAGGAAGGTTTTGGATTGGTGATTTTGAGATATCTGTCTACTATGGTGAGCAAACAAGAAAATTCTTTTTCATTTTTGAGGACATTTCGACCTGTGCATAGATCCTTTTTCAACTCCTTTGAAGAAGGGTATGGATTCCTAGCCATATTGAGGCATATTATGATCTTGTTTTGAGAGTGAAGAACAAAATTTTCAATGTTCGATTCATTAATATTTATTTGTTTGTATTTATTTGGTTGTTATATTCCATCTACTAGTTATTTATTTGTTTGTTTATTTGGTATGAACACACTACTGTTTAGTTTTTTGTTTATTTTGGTGAACAAGAAAAAAAAATGACAAAGAAAGCATCAGTGTTAAAGTAAAACCAATATTTTGGCAAAAATTTGAATTCAAATAAGTCAGCTGAATTTGAATTGGTCAAAATTTTGATGAAGAGATTTTGCCCATAATCTTGTCCTAGAGAGCATCCATAAGCTTCAGTCTCAGCCCAACGTTCTAGGGCCTATGCTCTCTAGGCTTTCTAATTAGAGGAAGTGTAACAATCCCATTCCATATTGGAAGTTTGAATAGGTGATCTTGAATATATAAGTAGGATCGATGAATTCAAATAATATCATCATGACTAATTTTTTTAACTGAGTTTTCTTGTTTGTTACCCGTTGCATGACAATGTGGGTTATTGTAACTAATTGGGATAGTTAGCTTGTTTCTAGTATATTGAGAGGTTTAACTTGGAACTTAGGCTGTTTGTAGTTTTAATTGTATGTGCAGGTGAAAGGTCAGGCTATCTAAATTTTGATATACATTACTTACTGTTAAGAGATGCTTTGACTTTTGGGTGCGGCCCTTTGGAGGTATTGAATGGGTTTAGACTTCTTTAGCAACATGTGGTTGTGGTGTGTAAGTTATTATGATTAGAAAAATTGCCCCCTCAAACCACCCTCCAACACACACACACGCGCGCGCGCACACGCACACACACACACACAAAATACTAAAATAAATCTTGATATCAGATTTTGAGCCCGAATATACTCCTGTAATATGTATATATATATATATATATATATATTTGTATATATTTTTAAAAAAATGGATTGTAATGCAATTATAGTTACTAGCTCTATCGGTGTTTAGCATGGTTTGGGTGCAGCCAGGGAGTGTTGTGCGTGTATTTCATAGTTGGAGAGGGGGTTGGGTTGGGTTCGGAAGAGGCAAAGGCATAGCGGGTGTGGTCTGAACATGTCTATTGATCACTGCTTGGGTGTATTTTTGATGATTGTCCCCTACTGTATTTGAACTATCACCTTTTTGTGATTGCAATTATGCAGCCTGATTTGTTGAAAAATGGTTATTGTTGGCTCAAGTATATATGTAACAAGGAAAGACTAAAGGCAAGTTCCATTGCACTTACTGCACTCGCTGAGTATACCGGTGAGTAATAGCTCCTTCACAAAGGCATATCAACCTTGTGAGTAAATTTTTCTTCCCTTCTTGAAGGTTTCTTGAATAAAAAGGCTAATAGTTATATAGAAAGATAACAAAAATAAGGAAGAAGCATTCAAATGGTAATTGACACTTAAAGAATGAATACCATTCGGCGAAGATCAAGTCTTTCTCATGAAAAGTTTCTTGGGATTTTTCTTCATACATGTTTATTGTCTTGATTGATCTCCTACAAACATAATTTGCATGGTTTATTGGTTCTTAGTTGGAGATCAATTCTCAGATGGTTGGCCGGAAGGACACCTCAAAAAGTGTTTTTGACGTATGGACAAAGGTAAAACAATAATCTGTTAAACTGTTTAATTTTCATTTTTGGCATTATCAATTTGCATATAAATTCTTTCTTTTTATTACTATTACTATTATTTTTTCTGGATAGATTTTTCAAAAGAGAAAAGTAAAACGAGAAAGGAAGACAGCTAGTGGCTTCAGCAGCATCTCCAATGAATTTGACTTTCTGCACTTCATGATTTCTAACTGGTAGGTTAAGAACCCCAGTTAAAAATTTCATTTTTTCTTTCATAATTTCTAGTGAAAGGTCATCTATCTTGACTGTTCAATGATTGCCAACTATCCAGTGATGAGTACAATTTAATTTTAGATGGGATCCATGAAAATAGTTTGCAACTTCACTATCATGATCCAGTTATGCGAAAGACTGTAAGTCATAATTGTAATAAAAACCTTTTGTGCTATGAAATTTGATACGAACCCATAAACTAGCTTCCCCTTGACAAATAGGACTTGTGACAACTAACGACGTGTAATTTGGACCCATAGGTTGGGAGTTAAAGTCGAATACACGTTAAACTTAGTTGAAAAAGGGCATTCCGGGGGCAAAAATTCAAAACTGCCCTCGAACCACCGCGTGGCTCTAACGGATAGCTTCCCCTTGACAAATAGGACTTGTGACAACTGACGAAATGTAATTAGGACGCGTATGCTTGGAGTTTGACCCAAAAACGCCATAAACTTGGTGAAAAAAGGGCGTTTCGAGGTTGAAAATTCAAAACAGCCCCCGAACCACCGTGTAGCTCTCACGGACAGCTTCCCCTTAACAAATAGGACTTGTGACAACTGACGGCATGTAATTCGGACCCATAGGTTGCGAGTTAGAGCCGAATACGCCTTAAACTTAATCGAAAGAGGGCGTTCCGGGGGCGAAAATTCAAAACAGACCCCAAACCACCATGTGGATCTCACGAACAGCTTTCCCTTGACAAATAGGACTTGTGACAACTGTCAGAATGTAATTAGGACGCGTAGGCTTGGAGTTAAACCCGAAAATGCCTTAGACTTAGTCGAAAGACGACATTCTTACAAATAAGTGCCACTTTCTCCGTCGTTTCTCAAACCAACTCTGGACCTAACAAAGGTGCATCACCCACCTCGGCCCAACACACAGGGGATCTACACGGTCGACCATACAAGGCCTCTAATGGTGCCATGCCAATACTCGATTGGAAACTATTGTTATAGGTAAATTCCACTAAGGGCAAATGCCTCTCCCATGAACCTTTAAAGTCAAGGACATAGCCTCGAAACATATCCTCAAGGATCTGAATAGTACGCTCGGACTGCCCGTCAGTCTGAGGATGATACGCAGTACTTTGCCAAGGCACTCTGCAAACTCTGCCACAACCGAGCAGTGAAATGCGGATCTCTATCCGAAGCAATCATCCCAGGGACCCCGTGCAACCTCACTATGTCCTCACTTACGCGTATAGAAATAAAATGCGCCGACTTAGTCAATCGGTCAACGACCACCCAAATGGCATCACTACCCCGTTGAGTCCTTGGATACAGCTCAGAGTCGCCAGAAAAGTTATGCCGACCGTAGGAGGAGACCTTTGTCTTTTGAGGTGAGATCATGTCTTTTTGAAGATATCACCTAGACAGGGTTTGATGAGGTTTGGGAAGAGTGGGAAGTTGTCCCCTTGGTTTATTGGCCCTTTTGAGATCCTTGAGCGGATTGGGGAGGTTGCTTACCGTTTGGCATTACTGCCACAAATTTCCAGGGTTCATGACGTGTTTCATATTTGTATGCTTCGAAAATATGAGCCGAACCATCGTACGTGTTGGATTGGACCCACTTAGAGGTAGATGGGGATGCCTTGTATGAAGAGAGATTAGTGGAAGTCTTGGATAGACGGGATCAAGTTTTGCGAGGCAAGACAATTCCCTTGGTAAAAGTATTGTGGAAACATCACGGAGTCAAGGAAGCGACTTGGGAACATGAATTAGAAGTCCGAGAGAAATATCCGGATTTGTTTGTTGATGCATGATCATGTATTGAGAATTTATTGTATTAATGAAAAGTCTAAGCATTGTATATGTTTTAACTTATGAAAATATTGTATATGTTATGGTTGTTGGAAAGAACATGGATTCAATATAAACATTGCTTATGTTTTGAGAATTTGGAATATAGATGA